CAGATTTCAAATGAAGAATAAATGGACAGAAGCAAACAAAAATAATATAGTTCCCCTCATCTGATGATGCCTTTACCAGAATGAGGAAAGAGTTCATCCAAGGACCTATGATAGGACATCAAAAAGAGAATCCATTCTTCTAGGTCTTTCTTAACTTTGCAATGTAACTTAAATGATGTAAAACACAATATAATGCTCAGATACTTTTATGTTTTATCAGTTTTGCACATTTTCATATGGACTTCACCTCAGTCTACAGCATTCCTTCATTATTTTGTCCTTATATTTTTACACTATCAAGACATAAGATAACAAGTTTGATTTACAGCATGAGAAATAATCCACCTGGCTTCCTTGGAAGAAGAGCATGTTCAATAGATAACATTACTTCTGTTTGCTCACTATATGCAATGGTTTCTGTAATACTAATCGCATTCTTTTTAGTATTTAAAAAAACTGCTGGCTATACTCAAAACTCATTCATGGAAGTTTATGTTAAGTATTTCACAAGTTTTATTTTCCTTAATTCTTAAGATAACATTTTCTATAATGCTAATGTTATTACCATTTGAGTGTTGGGAAAAATTGCAATTAAAGGCAGTAAGTGCATGGCCCAAACACACACTGTGATGGAGGAAATGAGTCAAAGTTTCCAAAAGTCTTTCAACAATACACAAAAGTTAGGTAAAATCTCTCCATCCTCTTACACTCTCTATTCAATGTTCATATTGTCCAAGAAATAATACCATAGCAATTATTGCCCATGGTGATTGTTTTCTGTTACATTTTGACTTCAACACAGACTGTGCTAGTGACATTGGGTTATCATGCACAGAGCTGAGCTTATAAGAGAGACAAATATATTCTGTCCCATTTTTCCAGGTTCCATTTTAAAAAGTACTAAACTTTTAAATATCATCACTTACATTCTTAAGAATCCAAAAAACGAAAAAAATTCACAAATAATCACTCCAAAATGCTTTAAAAGTACGAGATGATAAAACAGGCCGCCATGAAGTAAACTTTCTTCTACTTTTAAAATTATTCTGAAAGCCTTGTGCTTGTTGGTCAGAACTGTAATCTTGACTACTCGGCATATTTACTCAGGACCCAGAGACCTGTGGATAACAGTGGAAGCCATTCAGGGCAAAATAAATTCATGAGATTATTTTTCAAAAATTTCAATGAGTTAGCAAAGGGCCAGGAATGGAGATGTAGCTCATATAATAGCTCACTTATCTAGAAAGGAAAGGCCTAGCAAGACTTTGAAGCCCTTTTTTCAAACTGTGAGCACAACAACATATATGAAAGTGCATGAGAACACGTGCATGTGCACATACACATATTCAAAATACCTTCATATCAGTGTTTCACATTAATTTCTTTCTTAGCCATATTATATGAGTAAAATAAAGGAAATAAACTCTTTCATCTCAGAACATTTTCATATGTTTTTTACTTTAAAAATACTGTACAGAGAGGTCACATTTACATGAACAAGTAAGGAGTACATTTCCTAACAAGCATTGTTACCTCCTCCTTTATTTTCCCTCTACCATCCCTTCCCTCCCACCTCTACAAGTACACTCCCCTCCCCGCTTCCCCTGCCTAAATTGTAAAGTTCAGTTTTCAACATAGTGTCTTGTTCATCTCATTGTTACAATGGGTCAACCTGAATCCCTATTTAAGCATTTTGGTTTTTTTCTTCCCCTCCCCAAATTACAGGAGTGTATATGCAAGAGGTGGGCACACCAAATTCAAATACAGTAAAAACAGGGTTATAGCATGGGGGAAGAACATATAAAGAAACAAAAAAATCACATAGCCTGTTATAAGTACGTTGGAAAATTAGCAAGAAAGAAAAAAAAACACTTGTGTTCCTATTTGGGGGTTCATTTCCCTTAACAACATCTTATCTGGTCATATGTGCATAGATTTTGACTTTTTCTGCTTATCCCAGACATACATTAGTTATTAAAAATTAGAGAAACCCTGGGACCTATGTTTCTTTGTACTTGGCTTACTTCACTTAATAATTTTTTTCCAAGTCTTTCCATTTTCTAACAAATTGGGCGATGCCATTCTTTCTTATGGAGGCATAGAAGTTCATTGTTATAAATAGCACAATTTCTTGATCTATTTATCTGATGAGGGGCATCGGGGTTGGTCCTATATCTTAGCTATCTTAAACAATGCTGCAATAAATATAAGTGTGCTGGTAGTTTTAGTACCGTCTTGTTTGTGATCTTTTGGGTAAATGCCCAAAAGTGGGATTGCTGTGTCCTAGGGGAGTTCTATGTGGAGTCTTTTGAGGAACCTCCATACTACTTTCCAAACTGGTTGAACGAGTTTACACTCCCACCAAGTGTGCAGTACAGTTCCCTTGTGGCCACATCCCCTCCAGCATCTGTTGTTGTAAAAGTATGGAATTGTACAGGAATTTCCCTGTCATCCTTGCGCAGGGGCGATTCAAACCTTCTCTGTATCGTTCCAATGTTAGAGTACGTGATGCTGAATGGAGCATAGAACATGTTTTATATATAAAGTGTAATTGACTTTCTTAAACTAGAAAATTCAACAAAAAGTGAGTTTAAAAGAATTTTCATGAAATTTTAGAGCCATGTACTTCTTATTCTTATATAAGCACACGTTTAAGAATAAAGTCAAGATTGACATATCAAAAACAAAATAATTCCAGATATTTGTTGTTCAAGAGATGTTTAGGAGGAGGAATTCAATTATTCTATACAAGGCACCTGTCTAATGAACACTGCAGCAAGTGTTAAGTTTTGTTAAATATTTTAATGGTTTAAATATATTTGATTTTGGGAATTTGCTTATATATGCTAAAACTAGGACTGTTTGACAGATAATAAAAATTTTCAATAAAATATTTAAGAGTTATGGTAACAGACATATGCTACTATGTGTGTATATTTCAGAGTTTATAGAAACATTACTAATGAGAAGTTGCCAAGTCTTTGTGTAAAGGAGCAGAATAAAGAGTTAAGACTGTAAAGTACAGTTTCTGTTAAAACTATAGGGCTTCCTTATTTTATGTTTTTTTTAATTTTTGGGGGGTCCGGTCGTGGGGACTGAAGTATGGGCCTGGGCATTCTCCCTCAGCTTTTCAGATCAAGGTTGGTGCTCTACCACTTGAGCCACAGCGCCAATTCCGGCTGTTTACTTTTTGTTTATGTGGTGGTGAGGAATCGAACCCAGGGCCTCATGCATGCAAGGCAAGTGCTCTACCACTGAGCTACCTTCCCAGCCTCTGGCTTCCTTATTTTATATGTTAGCGAGGAACAAATGATGATATAAGTCATATACAAATGATTAGATGTGCCATAAATAGTAATCTTAGTGGGTAACTTTAAAGATTACTCATAACCTAAAAACCTCTTGTTGAATATCATAATATTAGCCCATTTTAAATGTACAGGTATATGAGAAAATAGTAAAATCTAATAGGTAGTATCCTTCAAATACTGAAAAAACTGATAATAATTTTAGTTTTTATTTTAATCATTAATATTTTGTTATTGTGTTTCTTTATTTGTAGTAATATAATATAATAAAACCTTTTGTTATTCATCATCAGGAGGTACTTTGAGAAGGTTACTGGGATGGCCAAACCATTTTTTATAGTTGCATGTGAATTTACAAAAAGCAAAATTAAGAACAAAATATTTATTCAAAAATGATTAAATAGACGCTGAATCAGGAGTGTTGATAAATATCCACACCAAAAATCTTAGCCCTAGGCTGAAGCAGTGGTATTACAGAGTTGAGACCACAAAAGTGAGAGACTGTGTTGTGTTTTGTTTTATATTTTTATTTTTCTGGTCATGGGGCTTGAACTCTGGGCCCTAGGTGCTCTCCCTCAGCTCCAGGCTAGCGGTACCACTTGAGACACACACACTTCCATCTTTTTCTGCTTATGTCATGCTGAGGATTCAAACCCAGGGCCTCATGCATGCAAGGCAAACACTCTACCAATGAACCACCTTCCCAGCACCTGAGAGACTGTGTTTTAAAAAATCACCTAAACAATATTTGCTTTCTTCTTTGGGTTATATAATGAAATATATTAATATCTTTTTATGTCTTTGTGAATTGTCATACTTCTAAATTTATACTAACTTCAGCCACTTTATCCTTTTCAAAGTGATGAAATATTTCTGAGAGTTTGCTTTTGTGAGGATTGTTTTTGCATTTATAATTTCTTCTGAATCATTTTTATTTTTATCAAAATAACTTTATATTTCATGTTGATGGGTTATCATACATCAAATACCTCCAAATGTACATGTAGAGTCTAAAGATAGCAGTATGAATATTCTCATACTGCTCTTGTTTATCTGTTATGTACTTTCAGTATTGTGATATTTCTCTTTCTCTGTCACTCTCTTATTTCCTCTCTTTTTCTTTCATGCTCCATGTCTGGTACTTAGAATTTCTGCTGGTCTACTATTATCCTTCAGGATCCACTGGTTTTCTGGGAACATGATAGGGACCATCAGTTACCCTTGCATTCTTTAAGAGTTATAACAGTGATGTGATGTTATTCTTTCCTATTCTAAATGGCAAAACAACAGATCTAGGAATTCCTTTTCACTTTTACTACTATTACAAATTTTATCTCATAGGAATCATTGAGACGATAGGATACTTTTAACGTCTGACCTAAAAGTTCTTTTTCTTTTACAAATAAACTTTATCTTCTATTATCAGTGTATACATATAATGAAAACAAGGCTAACCTATGGAATGTGAAGATATTCAGGGATGAAAAACAAGGTTAATGGGGGAAGTGAGTACAAAAGATGCCTATCATACAACAAAGATCCTCAGAGCAGTTTATCATGTACACTTTGTGAGAATGGCATTACGCTGGGAAATATAGATAAATCACTGAACAACTGATATATATATATGCACATATATTTATATATGTATATTTATTTGTATATGAATATATGTGTATATATGCCCTTATATATGTAGACATGCATGTTAATATACACAAAAATACACACATACATATACCCATGTATACATGCACACCTAGAGAAAGACACATAGCTACAGACAACACAAGTTTCACTAGTTGTTGAATATGCCTTAGACAGAATGCTTGGAACCAAATATATTGAAGAAGTATTTATGTCTAGAAGTTCTTTTACCACTCCTCTTATCCCTTAAAATGGTTTTGACAGATTTGATTTGCAAAATGCAGTACAAGTGATAGCAAGTCACTAGGAAATCTCACTAAGTAAACCTCATATGGCATCTCCCTGCTCCCCAGGGAATGCTTGTTCTTGTAGACACTCTCAACAACCAAAGTAGTAGGAAAATACCCTGATACAGAATAAAGATATAAGGCTTTAAATGGCATTCTTCCTTGAGCTCTTTTCCAACATCTAGCATCAATTTCTAAGCAGAAGAGTAAATCCTGAGAAGGTGGGAGCTCAGCTCAACATTTCACCAACCCATTTGAAAAGTCCTATGTGAGGAATACTTACTGAGGTCTTGCTGATTTCCCAGCTAAGAAAAAAAGAAAGTATTTTAATGCATTAAAATTTGAGAATAATTTGTAACCTGTCAATAAATGTGTAGAACACTCCTCACAAGTTGTAGTGTAAATTTCCAACATGTTGTCTTGTGCGTATTGCTATTGCATTCGTTTTCCTTTGTCCTTTGTGTCGCCATTTTGTTGTTCCTCTTTCCTTGCCAAATTAAGATAAATATGTATACAATACACAAGATACTGAAATCATATGCAGCAGGGAATAAACCACAGGGGGAAACACAAAAGAAAAAAGAAATCACATAGTACATTAAAAACAACTACCACAAAGGAAATCCTGTGTTTCAATGTCTAGGAGTTCATTTTGCTCAGCATCCACTTATATGGTCATATATACATAGCTCTTGAGCCATTCTGCTCATCTGCTAGGACCATCCTAGACATTTCCTACTTATTACACATGAGGGAAACCATGGAATATGTTTCTTTGTTTCTTGCTTATTTTACTTAGTAGGATTTTTTAAAGTCTTTCCATTTCCTTATGAATTAGAAGCATAAAATTGCACCGTGTGTGTGTGTGTGTGTGTGTGTGTGTGTGTGTGTGTGTGTGTGTGTGTAATATCGGTATCATGGATTTTATCAATTCATACATCTTCTGAGTGGCATATTGGTTTACAACATGATTTCATGTAAGTATCACTTAGGGTCATTCAAAAATGACAGATGTCACCTCCCCAGATATACTAAAATCATAATTTCTAAGTAAGATAGTATTTTATGTTGGTACAAGTGTTGAGATATCTGGATGAGTCTAATGTATATTTTGCACTGAATTAGGCAGGAAGATATCATATAGGATAAAAATGGTAGTGACAAAATATTCCCTTGAGAAAGATTTTGGAGACTGCCAGAAGTATGAAGAAATTCAGAGAATTTTGAAGAATTTAGAAATGCAAGTTCAAGTATGTCTCTTTAAATAAAAATTATGTAAGCGGATGGGGAAAAGAAGGGAAAGAGAAGAAATAACTAAGAGCAGATCAGTGTCCCAAGTTAGAGTATGAAAAGATATAATCTACAACTTCCAAGTTAAAAGAGAGAACAATGATACATCCCGCTTAATTTAGGAACATACAATATATTTACTTGGCTTTTCCCTACTTTAATGCTCCAAAAATAAATGAAGATTTATAAGAAAAATTATGTGATTTCCATTACTTCAACCTGAACACTAACTGTGATGAGCCCTCTTTTTCTCATATTGCACTTGGAAAACAGTCCCTAATTTGATGATGATGTGGCTGATTACAGTCAGAGTTTGGGGTTTCTACTTGTACAATTATCCCAGAATAGTTTAAAGCAGTTTTTCCCCCATGATATTCAACTACATTCTCTGAAGCAGTACTTTGAACACATCTTCACACCGGAGCACATAATTTGAAATTATACTTCAACATTTCCTTGGAACATTCTACTTTTTGCCTTTGTCTTCTTTGCACATTCCTTTTGAGATCATGGTTGCTCTATTTCCATTTTATCTTTACAAACTGCTAAAAACTTTGTTCAACTATCAGTTCTTGTTTGCACATGCCCAGTCTATTTATCAAGGTACTTTGTCCAAGTTAAGCAATAGGGTAGTACTCACTCTCTGAGGAGAAAAGTTGCACAGTATAACCCTATGCCCACATTCAAGGATGTAGAATTTAAAGCATTATGAGACAAACAGTGATATTGGAATTGAAAGGCTCCTTAGGGGCATTTTCTTGGAGCTCGTTAGTTTTCCCAAGAGAAATATAAATATCTACAAAATATGGAGCTAATTAGTAAGTATCTGAATTAACACTAGATCCTAGATGTTGTGTTAGTACAAGTCAAAATTGTATCATTGCTACATCAGAATCCTTCCCCACTTGCCAATATGTATGAAAAAATAAAAGAAAGGCATTAACACAAAATGACTATTATTTTTAGGCATTTAATCCTAGTGGTGAGTGTGATGTCTGAAATCTTCCATTCAATAAAAACTTGAAGGTTATAAGATCACTTCCTACATATAAGAATTTGTGGCAGGTTGATTGACAGGGTTATAACAGCATGGAGATATTCCTAACAAAAATTAGATTTAAATAGAGTATATGGCAGTTATGATTTGTCAATGGCTATTGAGGCATTTTTTATTCTAAAGAAGAATCAATTCGAGGAATCTTCAGTCACATCAGTAAAGCTGTGTGTTACCCTAATACTTGGTGTTATTGTCCTACATTTATAATGATTAGGCTGATAAGATATCCAAACATATCTAAAGACATTTCAATAAAATCCCAAACTGGTGTGGATACATGGGTCACTCCTTGGAACTGTAGCACAAATTAAGCTCGCCTGTAAAGTCTTCAAAAATATTCTCAGAATACCTCTAAGTAGTTAATGAGAGTTATATCTGTATAATTCTTCTAAGGTCAGGATAAAAGCATTTGTTCCCTGCATTTAAAATCAACAGGATCTGTTGAATTCATGGATCCAGAATTTCATGTCATCACATTCATATCTCCAAATTTTATCAATATGACTTTCACCAAAACACTGTTCTTTTTGAACTTGTCTATGTCCTTTACTTTTCAAATCCAAATAGCATATTTCCTTCAATACATTCCTGCAAATTCTTTTCTTCCTTTACTTCTGAAATCTGTGTTTATTACTTTTTTGGTTCCTTATTTATCTCTTTCTTCTAATCTTGTCCACACTGTTACTCACATTGCTCACACATGTGTCAGAGTTTTCCTTTTCCTCTTCCCTTTAATATTACCCCTGATTTTATTATTTTTTCATATTCCTGGTCGTGGATATTTTGATGATATCTAAAGAGACGTATCTTTGCATCTGTTTAACATAAACTTTAGAATTTTCTGAGAATTTTTCCTTTAAATCCATCATTTCCACTTGTAGTCCTTATCACCAAGAATATAACTAACACAAATGCTAGCCAGAAATGTGGATGCACTTTAGAATTCTTCTTACCCTTCTACTCCCTGCCATTAGATAAGATGAATGATCAAGATTTTCTGTTTCTCTCACTAATACAATTTCTATATGCTCCCTTTTATGCGCCTGACACCAGCCTGTTTCAAATACTCATCATTGATCCCCTAGTCCTAAAACAAGTGATTACAAAGTATGATTTTTCCACATAGTCTTTTCATATTTGTCCTCTCAATCACCAAGTTATTCTCCTTGTAAGCACACAGAGTGAAGAGCTCAGATACAAACTCCAGTATCAATATTTACTCATTATATTGACTGTTGGCCTTACATTTCTCATCTGTAAATGGAGGTAATCTACCAGAAATATTGAAGAATATATTTGTTGACTTCTGGAGCAAGAAAAAAAATAAGTGAAGAGTCCTTACATTTTCCACCTTAGCTTACAAATAAAGAGTCAAATTCAATTTGTTGGTATAAATTCACAAATAGTTTCATGCAGAAATAAAAATAAATTTTAACTACTGGTTCTAGGCCCTGTGTCCTTTTATGGTAACTACAGATATGTAAGTGGTATTATGTAGTTTGCGTCATGTGTTTACAGCTGTACTGAAGAACATACTCAATATATCTTTGGAAACATTGGTTTGAATACTATCTATATGAGAATGTTATTTGAACTAATCACACTTAGTTGAAAACTATAGCTTAGTCCATCAAAATGTGGAAATAAACGATTTTATTTATTAGAAAAAAATACCACCAAGAAAAGTGAGTACACATTAGAGAAACTGCAGGAATAACGTTAGTGTTTTTTACTGTCTGTACCTGTTTATGTGATTTTATTTATTGATATTGAAACTCTCCTCTTGTTATTCTTATTGTATGTAATCCAACACTGTTTATAACTATGTATTCAATGTGGGAACTCTACCTTCAAAGATGTCTAATTTTTTTTTCCTTTTCAATCACAACATTGTCATTATCAGGCTCCACTGTGGTCATCATCATCATCTTCATCAAAATTATTATTAGCATCATAGTGCTAATCATTGGAAGTCTGAGACGTGTCTATGACTTTGCTATTATTTTTCTTTTAATTAATAATTATTAATGTTACCACTGTGCATACATCCATATTAAAATTTTGAACAAATAAAGAAACAAAAAAACTAAACCATATCAGGTAGCTTGACTATGTGCTCATAACAAATTATGGAATAGATTTTCGAAACATTGCAAATTCCTAACCAGTATAAATTAACTTCCTCTTTCCCCCGCACTACACAAAAATATTTAAGAGTTTGGACAGAACTTTTTCACGTAATATACTGTAAATATCATTACAATATCAGGTGTATATCTAAAATTCCCTTGAAGGTAATAAACTCTACTTTCTATTGAAATATTAATTATTTTATGCTAGGAAACTTTTCGAAAAATAGACTGTTTATCTTTGAAATGAAAAACGTCAAAAACAGTAGAAAAAAATTTAGAGGGAGTCTGTCCTCATATATATATATATATATATATATATATACATATATATATGCATATATATATTTAAATGTTATGTTTCCAGTGACATACATTTTTAGAGATTATTTGTCATCAGAAATATATACATATATCTAAATTTACTTGTAGAGAGATATACACTATAGTGAAACAAAAATCTTAAAACATAATTAAAATTAAATAATACATCACTCCTGAAATGACTCACTCTTATAATTCAACCTATTCTGTGCAATGAGATATTCAAATTATGTTTGAAACTAGCCAAGACAGAAAAGTACTTGTTAGATTCTTAAAAACATAAATTAGCTCTGGGCCTCAAATTGTAGAGTACTGTCCTTGAGCAGAAAAAGTCTTAGGGACAACGCCTATGTCTTGCAAACAAAAACAACAACACCAACACCAACAAAATGTATCACATTAATTTCACAAAAGCATCTTTTAACTGCTGTGAGACAAAATTATACTACCTCGTCCAGGGAAGGTATCTCTATGTAATTCCACTCTCTAATCTCCTGTTTTAGTCTGAGCGCTAGAATTCCAAGCTTGTATCACATTGTTCTGCCATTGTTTGTTGGTTTATTTAATCTAGAAACAGACTAGCAATTCTAAACTTCTCTTATGATCTTATCCACTAGACTGACTGCTCATATTGTTTATGTACTATTTTCAAAGATGTTCTTACATTTGACACAGGATATGAACATTTTCAGATGTACCTGCAGGAGTCTCTGATTCCTTCCTCCATGGATCTGATCCCATTAATAATGATTACTTGACTCTTACTATCTCTGGTCCCTACCTATGTAATATTATCAACTTTTTTGAAGGTATTGCATTTGAGGGCTTTCTAATATTAAAAATTATCACTTAATTCTAGTCTTACTCAGGACTTATTTTCTATTGTTTTCTAACTTTTCTACATATTGTGAGAATTGTTTCATTTTGTATTTGTGTGTGCACATATAAGTGACTATGTGTGTCTGTGTATGTTTGTATGTATGTATGCAATAGTCTCAAGCTCTTATTCAGCAATCTTGATCATGACTGATATGCCAGCATTTGGCTGGTTAATTATAGATAGTGTCTCAAACACTGTTCTGCCCAGGCTGGATGCAATCTGAACTTCCCAGACTCCTTTACATAATTAGGTTTTATTTTTCCAGGAGTAGCAACTTTTAAACTACAAACATTTTTGTGAGTGTAAAGTGTAAGCTGTAGCCCAGATTTTTAACTCAAGAATTCATATAAAGATAGATGAACATACACATTACATATCCTGAGTGTACAATGCTAAAAATGTGATCATAAGCCAAGTGCTGGTGAGATCTGAGGACAGGGGTTCAAAGCCATCCCGGGTAGGAAAGTCCTGGAGAGACTTTTTTTCCCAATAAATACCATAAAACTGGAAGTGGCACTGTGGCTCAAGTGGTAGAGCACTAGCTTTGAGCTGAATAGCAGAGGGACAGGGCCCAGTCCCAGAGTTCAAGTCCCATGACCAACAACAGCAAAAAATATATATGAGAAAAAGAAAGAAAAATGAATGTTATCTTAGCCACCACGTTCATTGCTAGTATGATCCCTGTTCTCTCAAGATGGACTCTTTTTTCCAGTTAAGTCCATGATCATATATCTGACTTGCATTGGAAACAGAATCATTCTTCCATTCTACTTTTTACAAATTTTCAGGATTAGCAAGCATGACTTACAAAGGGAGTGGCCTCATGCTTCATTTTCCAGTTAGGAGTAATGCTTTCCCTATATCACTCCCATAACTCTACATGCTAGACTTGGCTTTACTGTTGCAATGTTGTCATATTTGTAGTGTTCTATATTGTATTGAATTCTTATAGTTAAACACAGAAATTCTCTTTCTCCTATTATTGCTATTGTTTCTCTTACTGTTAACTCATGTACACTTGAGAAATTACTGCACAGCACATACACTCACAAATAAAGATCTGAGACCCTTCTTCCCATTTAAAATTCACCGTAATTTACAGAACAATTAAGAAGTTTGAATAAAATGTACTCAGGCATAATGTATTTATTAGCCATTTAAATTTCACATTTTCTATTTACTAAGTTGTCTCTGAAACACGTGTTACCTCATGGCCAAAAGTATCCTTGTGCTATTTCAATGAAGCCAGAGAATATTCATTTTATCTAGAGCAACACCACCATAGATTGTTACTGGAAGTAAGTGGTAGTAACTGTTACTGGATGTGGAAACTGATACCAGGAGAGGAATTGAACATAGAGGAATGACAAAGTTCAAGTTAACTTTTGCTTTCCTTTTTACTGTACAAGAAAAGAATCCAAGGCTTGAAGGAAACTCTGTTCCTGACTTTTTTGAATGTGTTCTTTACTCACATAATACTCGTTTGTAAACTTCTGGTTAAGAGTATTAAAAAAGGAAGCACTATGCCCTTTGAAGGCCAGCATAGAAATAACATTGTTTTAAAAGTGTTATACTGAGGGCTGGGAAGGTGGCTCAGTGGTAGACAGCTTGCCTTGCATGCATGAGGCCCTGGGTTCGATTCCTCAGCACCACATGAGCAAAAAGAAAAGAAGCCAGAAGTGGCGCTGTGGCTCAAGTGGTAGAGCGCTAGCCTTGAGCTGAAGAGTTGAGGGACAGCACCTAGGCCCAGAATTCAGGCCCCATGACTGGACCTCCCCTCAAAAAAAAGTGTTATATTGCAAAGAAACCAAGATATGGATGTTTAAAGTGTCTTATGTATGGATGTTTCACTTCTTAGATGATTCTCTTGTTGCAAGAGTCAGTTATCAATTCCTTTAGTCTGGTACTGAGTTTTCAATAGCAAGAAGGATTTCAAAAAAGCAGGATCCAGTGAGTATGATCAGCAAAAGGAGCCTCTCCTCAGACCAGTACTACTTCAAAGAAGGTCCCAAAGAAATACTTGGGGTTTGTTTAGTTTGTGCTGGTTCTGGGGCTTGAACTCAGAGGGTGGACCCTGTCTCTCTATAGTTATCTTTCCTGCCCACCTGCCTCCAAAGCTAGTACTCTACTGCTTGAGCCAGAACTCTACTTCTAGCTTTTACGGTGTTTAATTACAGTTAAGAGTTTGAAATACTCTGCCTCCTGGGCTGGCTTTGAACTAAGACAGTAAGAAAGCTAAGTGACATCAACTGTATGGACTTCTCTTTCGAACTAAGAAATATTAGATGAAGATTATTATTAAGCTAATATTTCACAATTTTAAAAGAAGAGAATATGTTCAGCAAAGAAGACATAACTTAAGTAACTCAGCAAAAGTAGGTGCACTGAATCATTTTGGAATTATTATCTCTGCTTGGGAAGATTACTATTTACTTCATCATTCCTTTTGGGGAACCTTAAAGTCATATTTGCACTTCTTTGTTAGTTGTGGGGCTTGAACTCTGATTCTGGGCACTGTCCCTTGGATCTTCAACTCAAGTTGAGTGCTCTACCACGTTAGCTACAGCTTCACTTCTGGGTTTCTGGTGTTTTAATGAAGATAAGGATTTCATGGACCTTCCTGACTAGGCTGGTTTTAACCACAATCCTCTGGTCTCAACCTCCTGAATAGCTAGGATTACAGGCATGAACCACCAGCACCCGGCTCATATTTGTGTTTAGTGCAGTTAATGACACTAGACAAAAGACAAAATTCAAAGAATGGAAATCTGACCAAATTATGTGACATTGCAGCCTTTCAGATTAATTGAGGTAGCAATAAATATGTCCCACTTTTCCATGTTGTTACATTAATGACTCATGAGCTATGGGACCCTTACATTAGCATCCTCTTCCATCTGTATAGGTGTACTCAGTATCAGGAAATGTTCATAGAGAAATACGGAAAGAGGTTTTTAGACAGCAAAGGATATCAGGTATGAAAGAACAGCATAGAAGGAGATACATTTATCACACAGAGATTAAGAATTAGCCTAAGAGATTTAGAATGCTAAAGGCAATGAGGAATAAGCCTAGTTGCTAACTAGTTCTTCAATAACCAAAAATGGTTCCCTAGAACGGTTTCTGTTATACCATAGTTACTATCATTTATTCCTTCCATCTGGAGTTATTCCTTCTCTTCTGTCACAACTATTAATTAGCCTCTGCCTTTTTGGTGCCATGACTGGCCAAACAGGTTTCCAAATCTCACTTAGACTACCCTTCTCATTTTGATTAGCAGTGGTCACTCAAAACCCTGGAATCTTTGAATTTCCAGAGTTAATCTTCACCTGACATCTAAGCACATTCTTGGCATTAATTGACATAACCTTATGAAGAAAATTTTTTTCAACACAGTATCCTAATATAGGTAAAGTACATGAATTAGGGACTATTGTCAGGTATCATTATGGAAGGAGTAATTATATGTTCCAAGTATGGGTTATTTATTTTGCAATTACTAGGTAAATATTTGTTGTTGTTGTTGTTTTGTCAGTCCTGGGGCTTAAACTCAGGGATAGGGAATTATTCCTCAGATTTTTTTTTCTCAAGGCTAACCCTTTACCACTTGATGCACAGCACCATTTCCAGTGTTTCTTTTTCTGTTTATGTGGTACTGAGGAATTGAACCCAGGGTTTCAGGCATGCTAAGCAATCACCATACCATGAAGCCACAATCCCAGAGCTCTAAATGACTTTCTTAAGATGGCATTACATTTTCATTCTGTAACTATGTATCATAATTTTGGCAAGAAATTTTTGCTAGAAAAGGACATTGAACACAATACTGTGTCAAGTAAGGCTAGATCGACAATGAATAACCATCATGGTCTAGCCAGGCACAGAGGGGCTTACCTCATGGAGCTCATACAACAGACTGAGTGAAACAGCTCCTGACAAACAGCCCACCTCCAGAATGAGAGGACCACCTTGGTTCCAGCCACATGGGGACACTGAGCCACCTACTCCAGCACCTATTCAATCAGTTCCTGAGAGAGAGAAAGAAAAAGAAGTTCAGAAATACACTTAAGGCAGGTGCCAGTGGTTCAGGCCTCTAACCCTAAGTACACAAGAGGCTGAGATATGAGGATCATGGTTCAGAGCCAACTCGGGCAGGAACGACTGTGAGACTCTTATCTCCAAAGAACCACAAGAAAATTGGAAGTGGCCTTGTGACTCAAGAGGTAGAGTGCTAGCCTTGAGCTGAGGAGCTCGGGGACAGCGCCCAGGCCCTGAGTTCAAGCCCCACAAATGAAAAGAACTGGACTTCCTACCACAAGAAGTGTGGTGAATAGCACCCATTGTCCTAGGGAGCCTGCCTCTGCAAGTCAGGCTGAGCTTCCTGTCAGGTGGGAGTCATGGAGGTCACCCAGCTTCTCTGTGCCTCAGTTTCCACATGTGCAAAACTGAACAAAGTGAAGGATCCACTTCCTCATAGGGATAGGGTCATAATGAAAGAGACCCGTGTTTTGTTCATAATCCCAATGACTGTCTCACCATTAACACACACCATTTGAGCTCTTTCCTGGTATCTTTCTGTCATAAGCTCACAGAACTGATGAGAACCGTATCTGAGGGCTGCTCCCTCTGTGCCTGGCCGTGCTCCAGCAAACTCTCTGTATTAATCTCTTGTTTCCTCACAACTGTCCCATGAGGAGACTGAAGTCCAGTGGTGGGGGCCCAACCCAGAGCTTAACCTGTGGTTAAGAATCGGCTGCCATGGACTGAATTTGCGACAATCCATCTAAACCAATGACTGAGTGTAGCATCACATGCCTACCATCTCAACTACAGAGGAAAGTGCCTGGTGGCACACACATGTCACAGATCGGAGGACCGCAATCCAGCATATTAAGTCTCCATCTCAGAAATACCCAAGACAGAAAAGCTTGTCTTGCATGGTAGAAGACTTGATTGGCAAGCCTAAGGCCTTGAGGTCAATCCCTAACATACCTCAGAACCAGAGGCCCACTGTCCAAAACTCATGCCTATAAACCTACCTACTCAGGAGGCTGTGATCTGACTATCACAGCTCAAGATTCAAAATAGGATTGGCCTTGCCCATCAGACATAATAATGACAAGACCCGGAATCTGACCTATGTTGTTGTGCTCCAAACTAGCAGGGCTCATATCCTTACTAAGTGATGGCCATGCCAACACTGGGAAGCCACCCACTGGGGGCCACTCCCAGGTCTTCCCAAGCTCCCCACTGCCAACTACCAGACCCAAGAGTACACAGCTCCAGGTAAAAGTGATCCCTTGTTCTTGGACTTTAAATGTGCTGAGTCCCCTACAAGCGTCTCACCCCAGACTTCAGGTGTGAAACCCATGAACCCCCCCCCAAATATAGCAGGTAGAAGTTACCAAAGCATCCAGCCTCCTTGTTACAACCCACTCCTACACATGAATGCAAACGCACGCGCGCGCGTGCACACCCACACACACACACACACACACAAGTCCAGATCAGTGACAACACTCATCCATGCAGCACCTGTAATTTGCCAACTTATCATTCACCTGAGTACAGTCAGGCTGTACAAGGAGAAAGATGATCTCTCTGTCTCTCTCTGTGTCTATCTCTGTCTCTCTGTCTCTCTCTGTCTCTCTCTGTCTCTGTCTCTCTGTCTCTTTCTGTGTCTCTGTTAGTCTGTCTCTGTCTCTGACTCTGTCTCTGTCTCTCTCTCTCTCTCTCTCTCTCTCTCTCACACACACACACACACACACACATGGAGATTCAGAGCAGTGCCTCTCCTGAGTTTGTTGGAGACCAGATGGACTGGGAGCACCAGCAGAAGCTGGCAGATCTGGAAAATGTGATCAGCCTATGAGAACTGTTGACAGCTGGGGGGGGCGGGGAGGTAGACAGGCCGGGTGTAATGTGTGTGTGTCTGTGGGTGGTCCTCCCAGATATTCACCTTCTGTTCTTACCCCCAGCACCCTCACCGCCCTACTGGGTTTTTCTGGGACCCTCTTCATTTGAAAAGTGTGACCAAGCACAGAAGACAAGGGCTCACACAGCAAGGGGTTTCTATCATCTGCATCCAACACCCCCTCACCCCCACGAAAAGACACCAGAAGGCAGGTGTGGAGGTGCTGTTCCCCTCTGACTAAAGCCACCAGGTTCCCACCAGGGAGAGGAAGAGTACAGATGTGCAGCTGTATGGCTCCCACTGCTACAAGTCAGGGGCTCTGTGGCGCCCACTCCTCACCAAATCCTGCATCTCCCCTTTTCCTAGGACACTGGCCACTAGGGATGGTGGTGAGATCCTCGGGTCAACACCCACCTCCACCCTGGGATGCATTTGGGCCAGAATGTGGGACACCAGGGAGGTGCGGGTCTGGGTCAGGAGGGGGGAAAAGGGGAATATTGGGTCGCGGGGAGGGCCTGCATGGCAGCCACTCACATGTGCTGCAGGGAGAAGCTGTTGGCAGTTGCTCTGGCAAGCAGTGACGGCAGAGGCGTGGTGGGCACTCAGGCCCGGAGCAGAATACAGGGTGGCCAGGACCAGATTAGAGCTGCAAGCCAGCCGGTGGTGCACTATTGCACAATTGCCTGAGGACTACAAGAGACAACACAGGTCTGAGCAGGCAGCACAAGGTTTGAAATGCTGCACTGCGAGGAACGGTGGTAGAGGGCTGGGACACAGGCGGGCATGTGGTGGGGCTCAGCAAGGACTCTTCTCCTAGGCCTCAAGTCTCTTGCTCACCACTCAGTCACCTCTACCGTCCTCAAGTGCTGGTAGTGGTGTCAACCAACAGAGGGAATCCAGGTGCTATAAGGCAGAATGGAATGTGAGTGTGGCCACCATTCTTGTATCCCATTGGACAGAAAGAACCATGAAAGAATGGGGGTCTGGATCCTGTTTTCCAGGCAGAATGGATGGAGTCAAGATGACAGCAGTGCCTTTCCCAGGAAACTCTGTCCAATCCAGTTGGAGACAAGAGGGAGACCTGCATTAGCGGGATGGCTGCACAGATTGTTCTGTATGTGTCTGTTTGTTCCCACTCTTGGACCTTCAACTGAGGATCTAGGCACAGTCCGTGAGCTGCTTTTGCTCAAGGCTACCCCTCTACCACTGGAGCCACACAGCTCTATTTCTGGTTTTGTTGGCACAATTGGACAGGCGTCTCAACAACTTTCCTGCGTAGGGTGACTTTGACCATGATCCTCCCATAACAGCCTTGTAAGTATGAAGGAGGTCTGCTGAGAGCCACTGGTGCCTGCCTAATCATTGGTCTTGCTGATATTCTCGGACAGATCGGTGACTTCTCTATCCTCCGGTTTAAGTGGTAGGAGCTGGAGCCCACAGTTTGAATCCTGGTTCTGCCACCTCCAAATGGCAGGAGATCCTAAGAAACTGATTCCTATCCATATGATTACCAATGGAATGTGATGTATATCATGATTGAATGGGCAGTTTTTGAATGGTTCTAGGATAAAATTATACACAATTACATTATGGTACACTGATCAATTTTAATGAATACTTTATGAAGCATTTAAAAATTACATTCATTAAATGGAGACATAATGAAATACCTAAAAATTGGACGTCACATAGTATAAAGGTGGCATTTTTTCTGCCAGGAATAGGATGTGAACTCATTGTCTGGGTAACACTATTGGACTGTGTGGGAAGGGAAGCTTGCCTCCTTGAAGTCAAGAAATTCAAGTCTGTTCCTTAGGCCTGAAATTAATCCCCACCACTAGAAAGCATCCTATTTGTGTACATTTTAAATATGTGATTTATGTTTACACACATATGTTGACTTCATAGTGTATTCAGTGTAATTATTCATTTTATTTTTTATTCATGTATTGACTATTCATTTTATTGACTATTATGAAATATAGAACATTGATTACATAGGATATAGGTCTGCATAATAATTTCACTTCATACCTGACACCCAGGACTTTCACATAAAAGGAAAACGTGTCACCATTAGCTTCTTACTCCATGATTCATTTTTTAGAAGTGCTGGCATCTGAACTCACAGCCCCTGAGGCCCAGTTCATGAATGGGTGAGTGTCAGCATGCCATTCTGTGGAAAATTGAGCTGACAGGCAGTTCCCAGGACCTGAGATCGAGCCCCAGTGGTTGACAAAATAAGAATAGATTGACACGCAGATGGTAGTACACAAATAAATAAATATATTTATAGCGTACCAGAGATGTCTATCCAATATTCAGTTAGATAGACTACATTCCTACCAATTCTTGGGTATTTATTATGCCTTCATGTAATTAATGTTATTGTTTTCATCTTAACAAACTATTAAGTAAAACAATCAGGAAGCTGAAATTATTGCATTCCTGTAAGCAATAGTATTTTTTTAATATTCCATAAACATTAAATAAAATCAGTTTCCTGAAATCATGCTGTGTAATTTTGTAGGAGCATCATTCAAAATCAACTCATTCAACCATAATATTGATATCATTCCACTGTTATTTCCTATGCCATTGGTTGATGTCAGGAGAGGGATTCAAAATCAGGGCCTACATTGCCACGTGGGTCTATGACTTCCCAAATAGTCTGCCAACCTTTAGCAATGCAAGGTGAAGTACCTTTCCAACAGTGTCATTCAGACCCAGGAGGGTCATCGTGCAAAGGAAGAAAAGGTAAAAAAGCCATCTCACTGCATTTTTTCTATGAATTTTTTTCCCAAACAAGGCCTGGGGATCTAGGATCACAGAATCAGCTGTGGGTCCAGTGGCTGCACCCTAGCATTGGGTGATCAAAGCTGAGGCAGAGTTGCCATGACCTGAGTTCAAGCCCCTTGTTGAGCCAAAAAAAATATTAAAAGAAATTAGCTCCCTGGCTTGCAATTCATCCCGTTTTTCTGCCAGGCTTTGGATTTATACTCAGGGTCTGGGAAAATGTGCAGCTCTGTGGAAGAAGGGGAAGCTCACCGTACTTGAAGATAAGAAAGTCAGGATTGTACTCTAAGCCTAAATTCAAGCCTCAGCCCTGGAAAAGATACTATTTATATACATTGTAAAAACAGGATTTGTACCTATGGATGTTCAGTCCATACACATTTAGTGTGGTAGTTCCTTCTATTTTTTGTTTTCTTCATTTATTTACTGGTGATTTTACTATGATGGTACCCATTCCGTTTATTACATTGATGACATGCTATCACATGGCATCTAGATTTCTAGACATGTTTTCCAGCATGCCTGACACCCTGGACTCTCAGAGAAAAAAAAATTCACACTCAGCTTCTTACAACATTATCCAATTGTTAGTAGTGCTGGGATCTGAACTCAGGGCTTAGCAGGACAAATTGGCAAATAGTTCAAGGTGAACACACCAGCCTGTGGGCAACTAAGGAGTTAGGCCATTCCCAGGATCTGACATTGATCCCCAGGGTGGGCCATGGTAGTCATAAATTCATTATTTAAACATAGGATCTATATTTACATACATGTGTGGACAGCATCTTGCGTTTGGTGTACTTCTACTTATTTTCTGTCTTATTCATGGAAGTATTGTGTATTTTACTGAGCATGGTGACAGATATAACAGTGCTTACATGGATGACAACCTATTGCCATGGCTATAGGGTTTCCTATGCATTCTCCAGCATAGCTGAGACCCAGGATTTTCACAGGACAGGTGAATCGATGGGCTTCTCACATCAGGATTCATCTTTGGCAGTGTTGTGATTTGAACTCAGAGCCTTGCAGTCCCAATTGGGGAAAGGGTCTAGGTGAGGACACCAGCCTATGAGCCAGGGAGGAGATAATCCGTTCCCAGGACCTGACATCGAGCCCCAATGAGGGCCAGATATTCATAAATTCATAATTTAAACATAGGGTCTATGTTTACATACATGTGTAGACAACATCTTGCATTCAGTGCACTTCCTCTCCTTATTTTGTCTCTAATTCATGGGGGTATTGTGTATTTTACTGAGTATGGTGACAGCTATAACTGAGGTTACATGGAAGACAACCTGTTCCCAAGGTTATAAGTTTGCCTATGCATTCTCCATCCTAGTTGAGACCTGGGACTTTCACAGGAGAGGAGAGGAAAACATGTGCAATGACTGGTTTCTGACGACAGAATGAAACTCTTTTTTTTGAGGGGGGGGGGTCTGGTCATGGGTGCTGAACTCTGAGCCTATGCACTGTCCCTCAGCTCTTCAGCTCAAGACTAGCTCTCTACCACTTGAGCCACAGTGCCACTTCTGCCTTTTTTCTTTTTGTTTATGTGGTGCTGAGGAATCGAACCCAGGGCCTCATGCATGAAAGGCAAGCACTCTACCACTGAGCCACCTTGCCAGCCCAGCTGTCAGGTGGTTCCCAAGTGCTGAGATTGAGCCCCAGGTTTGGCCAAAACAGTGATACATGGATAGGCAGAGGGTGGTATACAAATAAATATATATTGTTATGGAGTTCCAGAGCAATCTATCTATGATTAAATGACATTTACTACGTTCCTACCAAATCTTAGGTATTTATTTTATTGATAATTGAAATAATATTCTTTTCATGCTTAATAGACTATTAATGAAGATCAATCAGCATCCTAGGATTATTGCATCCAATTTTAGACTAGACAAATGCATGAACTACTCTTTCAATCCGTATTCTTATGCATAGGAACGAGTCTCTTGTGATCTCTTGCCATTGGTTGGTGTCAGGACCAGGATTTGAACCCAGGGCCTATGTTGACTTGTTGGCTTATGGCTTCCCTGATAGCCTGCCAGCCATCAGCACTGGCAGGCCAGGTCCACTTTGCAATTGTGTCATTCAGACCCAGAGTGGTCACCGTGCAAAGAAAAAAATTGTAAAACACTAAGCCCTTTACAGCTCCCCACTTTTTGTGCTGTCCCACCTTTTTTTTTCTTCCTGCAAGCCCTCTGGGCCTAAGCCCAGGATTGGCTATGGTTCCCCAAACTGCACCCCAGGCTCGGGAGATCAAAGCTGAAACAGAGTTGCCAGGACCTGAGTTCAAGCCCCGTGGTTGCTTTAATTAATTAATTAACTATTTTTTTTTAAAAAGAAGATTCCCTGATTTGGAATTTCTGGCAGTTTTCTTTCCTAGCCTGGGCTTTGAACTCAGGGTCTTGGTAAATCCAAAGCAATGTGAGGGAAGGTACACAGTTGCCACTACTTGAGTTCAAACCCCATGCCAAACCAAAAATAAATAGTTAAGTCACTGCTCAGCAGGGAAATGTAGTTGTGGAGATGGGAAGTAAGGGGTGGTATGGGGAAAACAAAGGAGGAAGCAACAATGCTCCATAGGAAATGTACTCATTACATTGCTAATGCAACTGTGAGCCCTCTGTACAACATTTTTTAATAAAAAACATACAAAAAATAATGTAGTGCTCAAGAAGCACTTTGGGGGTAAGGGAAGGATGTCTGAATAGCTGTACAAACTTCTACACTGATATTTTTTAATGTTCAGTATGGAACTGAATAAACATAACTGCTTCCATTACAAATATTAAGTCACTGTCTCAGGACTGGGACCAGTATTTTTGCCATTGATGGGATTTGAGTTCACCATCCTGGTAACTCTTTTACACCATTTGTGAAGGGGAAACTCACTGTCTTTGAGGGAAAAAAATTCAAGCTAGAGTTCCCAGGGCCTGAATTAAGGCCCTGCAATGGAAAAAAATATTTGTATTCATATGTAATATATGATATATAGGTTCTTATATATGTTTATTTCATATTATGATTATTATTATTGATTTTGTATTAATTTTATTTTTATTTTATTCATTTTATTGTTTATTGTATTTAGTACTATTACACACATACTATTTATTATGTTTTGTATATCTAATATAAAATTATAGAAAATAATTTAGGACACAGACTTTTTTTATTAATACTTATTAAGTGTTGAAACATGATACATAATTAAATGGAGGCATTTGTCATAGCCATCACATATTTTGAGTCTATCCCCAGTATGAGCTTTATCTTATTTATCTTTGGACAACTTCCTATAGGGATTTCGTTAGATGATTTATATTCAGAAGCCTTTTTTTGAGGATAGGCAAGTGGAGGGATAAAATTGTAAGGTTGGGGCTGGGAATTTGGCTTAGTGGTAGAGAGCATTCTCAGCATGCATGAAACCAGGGTTTGAATCCTCATTGCCACATACTCAGAAAAAGCCAGAAGCTGTGGAGTGGTTCAAGTGGTAGAGTACTAGGCTTGAGAAAAAAGAGCTCACAGACAGTACCCAGCCCTAAGTTCAAGCCCCAGGTCTGGCAAAAGCCATAGGCCAGATTCCGGTGGAACCCTATCTACTCAAGGGGCTGAGATCTGAGGACCACAGTTTGAAGCCAGCCTAGGGAAGGAAAGCCTGTTAGACTCTTAAGTCCAATGAACCACCAAAAGATTCCATGTGGCACTGAGGGTCAAGTGGTAGAATGTTCGCCTTGAGCTGAAGGGCTCAGGGACAGAGCCCAGTTCCAGTTTGAGACATGAAACTGGAAATAGAGTGAGGGATAATCAAAGTACTTTTCCTATTTGCTAATTATGAGAACATTTTCTGGAAAATGAACGTTGATGTACACCAGAATTGGAGTTAGGGCTCAAGGTTCAAGTGTAGCGGATCCATATGCCCAGCCTCTCAGACTCTAGCATTAAAAACTTGTGTCCTACAGGGTTCTGAAAGGTCCATTGTTGAAAGGCTTAATATGCTCCCCAAGCCCTTTGTGATAAGCATTTGACTTGTATTGTCAATGTCATTACAGTTCTGAACCTAGCAGAGAACCAATAGCTCATGAGTGTCACCCTAGCTCAGGAGGCTGAGGTCTGAGGATAACGGTGAAGCCAACCAGGGAAGGAAAGTCTATGACACTCTGATGATCACTTCTCAAAGGTCAGATGTTCAAGAGCTTCCTGTGTTTCCCTTGGTGATGAGAAGCTACTTTAACTGTAAATGTTGTTGGAGTTCTTGAGCTATAGAAGCAGGAAAGAAACATTATTGACCCATCCTGGGTTCAAATGAAGTTCTCAGGATCCAAGCCTTGCCCTGTTAGCAGGATGAACTCCAGTGCAACACTGTATTTGAAGGACAGAAAACAGTTGCAAAAGCCAGGCTAGGTGCAGAGACCTAGCCTGCAGGATTAGGAGGAAGAATTTACACACTCAACAGGGAAGTGAGCGGCAAAACCACTTCATTCATTCCAGGCATAGCCAGCAATGGGGGAGGGGAACCTGAAACATTTGTTAGAGGTACTCCAGGGTCAGGCTTTTCTCAGACTCTTTAAACAATGACTAACTAACGTTCCTTCCTCAGGTGAAGGGAGCCTCAAGCTATCTTTGGTTACCAACAGAGAGCCAGTTTAATTGGAAGAGGAAAGGAACAGAGTAGAAAAACCCTGCTCTCTGATCTTAAGGAGTGGGTTTTTGAATCTCCTCTGTCAGATTTGAAGGCTCTTCTATCTCTGCCAGTCCATTCTCCTTCTTT